CATTACATTACATTACATTACATTTTTAAAAAGAGTTACATTACATTACATACATTACACGGCTTACAATTTCATTACATACATACATACATACATTACATACATACATACATACATACATACATTACAAACACACATACATACATACAGTACATTACAGTACATTACATTACATACATACATACATACATACATACATACATACATACATACATACATACATACATACATACATACATACATACATACATACATTACATACATACATACATACATACATACATACATAGCATACATACATACATACATACATACATACATACATACATACATACATACATACATACATACATACATTACATACATACATACATACATACATTACATTAGATTACATTACATTACGCTACATTACATTACATTACATTACATTACATTACATACATACATACATACATATCAAGAACAATGAACGAAGGTAGATCGTTTATATTTTCTGAGGGGGAACACTAAATATATACATATGCTTTATATATATACATATATATATATATTCGTCCCCCAGAAAATATGTATATATATATATGTATGTATATGTACATATATATCTAGATATATTTGTCCCCCCCAAAAAAAGAGAGTGTGTATACAATATATAAAGATATATAATATTACTGGAGTCTGATCCAAGTCGCCCAAGAGGAGTACCTGGTTTGCCACCTCCGCCAGAGCGGTGGAGTGGGAGGCCAAGATTATTGCCTGGTGCTTCAGCAGGCCCGTCTCACCCAGCAGCGCTTGCCTCAGAAAGATTAACGAGGCCGAGCACGAGGGGATGGCTCGTCTTTGGTTGTGTTTGTTGTCTTCGTTTTGAAGCTCATTTTGCTTGTGTTGGTCTGTTTTTTGCGCTTCTTTGACTTGTGTGCCGGAGGGGGAGTTTGTGGGTGCGTCTTAAAGTAGGTGCGCCTTAAAACGTGTCTGGCAACCTGGACAATATCTTGGCAGTCCACGGCATAGGTGACCTTTTGGAACATATGTGGCTGCACAGGGTCCATTTTATTTTGTTTGACAACCCCAAGGTAGAGTTAAACTCAAGGTTTTTCCTTTGGGGGGCATAAACCGCTGGGTTTGAGTCTACCTTGGTGTAGTCAAAACGTGTGCGAGGGTGTGTCTTAAAATGGCTGTGTCGATAGGTTTGTGGAGGGTAGTACCCGTTCTTGGTTGGCTTTATAGTGACGGACATACACTTAGAAACGGTTTTGGAAATTTTCTTTTGGCGCCAGGTACTTTTTTCGTTTCTAAGTGCTGTCCCCAGCAGGTACCTTTCGTTTCTAAGTGTTGATCCGGACTGCTACAACCCAATTCAACACTTAGAAATGGTTTTCAACACTTAGAAACTGTTTTCAACACTTAGAAACGGTTTGCAGCACTAGCCCGACAGCTGTTTATGATCGTTCATGTGTTTCACGCCTTGTTTGATGGCCCCACCTTGCTCACACACGTGCTGACATGTATGGAGGATTGGTCATGTATACACACAAACAAGTCCAATTGGTCGACTCTTGGGGGGGGGGGTTGGGGGAGGCGTTTCTAAGTGTTCACCCCCAGCTGATTTCAAGCTTCCGGCAACCCCAAGAAAGCACCGATGCCCCGAGGAGGAAGGTCTATCTATATACATATATATATATACATATATATATATATATATATGTAAGTATGTGTTGTATGTAAGTAAATCATGCCTTGCTCGCAAACGCACTGACATATAGGAATTTTTGGTCATGCACATACACAGACAAGCCCCATTGGTAGAATCTGGGGCGGGGGGGAAGGGTGGGGGGCGTTTCTAAGTGGTCACCCCCAGCTGATTTCAAGCTTCCGGCAACCCCAAGAAAACAGCGATCCCCCCATGACGAAGGTCTATATATATATTTATTTATATATAGATATGTGTGTGTTTGTGTAAGTAGATCATGCCTTGCTCACACACGTGCTGACATGTATGGAGGATTGGTCATGAAAACACACAAACAAGTCCAGTTGGTAGACTCTGAAAAGGGGGGGGGAGGCGTTTCTAAGTGTTCACCCCCAGCTGGTTTCAAGCTTCCGGCAACCCCAAGAAAGCACCGATGCCCCCATGACGAAGGTTTGTATATATATACATATACAAATAAATATGTGTGCGTTTGTGTAAGTAGATCATGCCTTGCTCACACAGTGCTGACATGTATGGAGCACTGGTCATGTGTACACACAAACAAGTCCAATTGGTAGACTCTGGGGGGGGGTTGGGGGAGGCGTTTCTAAGTGTTCACCCTCAGCTGATTTCAAGCTTCCGGCAACCCCAAGAAACCAGCGATGCCCCCATGACGAACGTCTATATATATAACTATGTGTGTGCTTGTGTGTTTTTGTAAGTAGATCATGCCTTGCTCACACACGTGCTGACATGTATGAAGTATTGGTCATGTATACACACAAACAAGTCCAATTGGTAGACTCTTGGGGGGGGGGGGGCGGGGGGTTGGGGGAGGCGTTTCTAAGTGTTCACCCCCAGCTGATTTCAAGCTTCCGGCAACCTCAAGAAAGCACCGATGCTCCCAGGATGAAGGCCCATATATACACATATGTATAAACGTGTGCGTGTGTGCGTTTGTGTAAGTAGATCATGCCTTGCTCACACACCTGCTGACATGTGTGGAGTATTGGTCATGTATACACACAAACAAGTCCAATTGGTAGTCTGGGGGGCGTACAAGCCCAAGTGGTTGAATCCGGGCGGGGGGGGGGGTGTTTCTAAGTATTCACCGCCCGGCTGATTTCAGGCTTCCGTACGTACGTGTATGTAAATACATCATGCCTTGCTCACACACGCACTGACATATATGTAGTATTGGTCATGCGCATGCACAAACAAGCCCCATTGGTAGAATCTGGGGCGGGGGGTGTGGTTCACGCCCAGCTGATTTCAAGCCTCCGGCAACCCCAAGAAAGCACCGATGCCCCGAGAAAAATATATCTATATATATATATGTAAAAATATGTGTGTGTAAGTAGATCATGCCTTGCTCACACAGTGCTGACATGTCTGGAGGATTGGTCATGTATACACACAAACAAGTCCAATTGGCAGACTCTGGGGAGGGGTTGGGGGAGGCGTTTCTAAGTGTTCACCCCCAGCTGATTTCAAGCTTCCGGCAACCCCAAGAAAGCAGCGATCCCCCCATGACGAAGGTCTGTACATGTATATATATATATATATGTGTGTGTGTGTTTGTGTAAGTAGATCATGCCTTGCTCACACAGTGCTGACATGTATGGAGTACTGGTCACGGGGGTTCGGGGAGGCGTTTCTGTGTTCACCCCCAGCTGATTTCAAGCCTCCGGCAACCCCAAGAAAGCACTGATGCTCCCAGGATGAAGGTGTATATATATAAATATGTGTGTTTGTGTAAGTAGATCATGCCTTGCTCACGCAGTGCTGACATGTATGGAGTATTGGTCATGTATACCCACAAACAAGTCCAATTGGTAGACTCTGGGGGGGGGGGGTTGGGGGAGGCGTTTCTAAGTGTTCACCCCCAGCTGATTTCAAGCTTCCGGCAACCCCAAGAAAGCAGCGATCCCCCCATGACGAAGGTCTGTACATGTATAAATATATGTGTGTGTGTGTGTGTTTGTGTAAGTAGATCATGCCTTGCTCACACACGTGCTGACATGTGTGGAGTATTGGTCATGTATACACAAACAAGTCCAATTGCTATACTCTGGGGGGGGGGGTTGGGGGAGGCGTTTCCTCCCAGCTGATGTCAAGCTTCCGGCAACCCCAAGGAAGTGCTGACATGTGGGGAGGATTGATCATGTATATTGGTAGACTCTGGGGTGGGGGTGTTGGGGGAGGCGTTTCTAAGTGTTCACCCCCAGCTGATTTCAAGCTTCCGGCAACCCCAAGAAAGCACCGATGCCCCCAGGATGTGTATATATATATATATATGTGTGTGTGTGTAAGTAGATCATGCCTTGCTGACACAGTGCTGACATGAATGGAGTATTGGTCATGTATACACACAAACAAGTCCAATTGGTAGACTCTGTTGGGGGAGGCGTTTCTAAGTGTTCACCGCCCAACTAATTTCAATCTTCCAAGCTTCCGGCAACCCTAAAGAAAACACCGATGCCCCGACTACGAAGATATATATATATATATAATTATATACATATGTGTATGTAAGTAGATCATGCCTTGCTCACATAGGTGCTGACCTACATGGAGTATTGGTCATGTAACATATACACACGTACAAGCCCAAGTGGTTGAATCCGGGCGGGGGGGGTGTTTCTAAGTATTCACCGCCCGGCTGATTTCAGGCTTCCGTACGTATGCGTGTATGTAAATACATCATGCCTTGCTCACACACGCACTGACATATATGTAGTATTGGTCACGCGCATGCACAGACAAGCCCCATTGGTAGAATCTGGGGACGGGGTGTGGTTCACGCCCAGCTGATTTCAAGCCTCCGGCAACCCCAAGAAAGCACCGATGCCCCGAGAAAAATATATCTATATATATATATAAATATGTGTGTGTAAGTAGATCATGCCTTGCTCACACAGTGCTGACATGTCTGGAGGATTGGTCATGTACACACACAAACAAGTCCAGTTGGTAGACTCTGGGGAGGGGTTGGGGGAGGCGTTTCTAAGTGTTCACCCCCAGCTGATTTCAAGCTTCCGGCAACCCCAAGAAAGCAGCGATCCCCCCATGACGAAGGTCCGTACATGTATAAATATGTGTGTGTGTGTGTGTTTGTGCAAGTAGATCATGCCTTGCTCACACAGTGCTGACATGTATGGAGTACTGGTCACGGGGGTTCGGGGAGGCGTTTCTGTGTTCACCCCCAGCTGATTTCAAGCCTCCGGCAAACGCAAGAAAGCACCGATGCTCCCAGGATGAAGGTCTATATATAGAGATATGTGTGTGTTTGTGTAAGTAGATCATG